CGCTATCTGGTCTATCTTGCCTTTGAAAGACTCTAACTTGAGCTTCGGAGCCCTTACGCCGGGTTCTCCCCGGAGCTTCTCTTCTCCCTCCGTTTTAGGTCCCTGCCACCCAGTTCAGAGGCAAGATCGTTGACAGCTATGATCGGTCGGATTGTGCATCATCAGGATGTATTCAGTTAAAATGGCTTTTCTACTAGAGTAACTAATCAACAGGACAATAGTTCACTGTTCATCTCAAAGAAATCTAAAGGGTGTGATATTTTAATCCTACAAAACGTGCATTTTCTTGTTAATTTGGATACAAATATTCATACCAAGTATGTTAAAAATGACGTGGACAATATTTATCTCAATTACAGTTACAGGTTTACACCCTATCAAGTCATCTTTGGAAACCAAGTAAAATGGACAATACAAATTTCACTCACCAAAATGCCAGTAATATCTCCAATCGCAAAGATGTTCTTCCGGCCTTTCACTCTTAAGTATTCATCAACCATCAATTTTCCAATAGTATTCAAGCTACCGTTCAGAATGGTTTTCTTCAGCCAAGATGAACTTGTGGATCTACCAATACACAGGAAGTGGCAATCAGCATCAATGGTTTTTCCATTGGACAATTGATATACCTGTTTTCCATCTGATTCGGTGTTGAAGGTAACTGATTCCTCCAATATCACTTCAACATTCTTTGAAGTCAACCATTTTAGTGTCTTGGTAGAAGCTCTTGGTCCAATGAATTGTAACAACCTTGAACCACTGTGGACCAGAGTCACCTTCTTATCAGGGAAATCTGTAGCAATCTCTCCAGCAAGTTCAACTCCAGTAGGGCCCCCTCCAATAATTAAAATGGAATTGGCAGCTTGTATTTTTTTATTCTCTGCAATTCAAAGAGACTAGAGTAATATAAAATATTGAGTAACTCCTTTAGGAAAAGCATCATTTTTTAAACTAAATAAGTAAAGAGTTGGTGTTCTCAAATGGGGCCAAGAAACTACAAACTCAGAATTGACCAGTCCAACCTCAAAAGAATGATACTGCCTAATGTTCAAGTCATGGTTTTTATTATATGTTTAATATATATCCAAGGTATCTAAGTTAGCACTATTCATTTTAATTGGAGATGAGAGGGAGATGGTTTTATTGGTATTTTGCAGACTATGGAGAACTCAATGAAGATCAACAATGTACATTCAAATCCTCAAAACAGTTGGTTATTCCCTCATAGATCTAGACAACCAAAAGTAATGCAGAAAGCCACCATATATTGATTTCAAGGAGAAGAAAATAATTATTATTCCAAACAAACAGGAATCTAGTTTGTGGTTCTTTGTTACCAATATATGGGTGACATGTAATAGTCAGTCTTGTTTGATGATCGAGAGGACATAAACAAAGCCAGATTCAATAAAAAATGCAACAATCACTAAAAATAAAAATAGATGATATAGGTCACATGGATAAAATAGGCTTACTAAATGACATAAGCACCCCTAGATTCTGAATCCATAAGGAAGCACTCATTTCAATTTCAAATATGAAATTATGTGCATCTACAAAATTAAAGGTTCATTTGTGAATAACCAACCATGCTGTGCCACTGAGACTTGGGATCCAAATATTCCTCAACCCAGTTTCTTAAATAAACTATGAACATGGTGCACTCAAAAAAGTGTTCTCATTTACCATGCCTGACCAAATCATCCAACCAAACCATATCTGAAATTTGCCTTAAAGCAGTGACTTCGGTGAGTCAAAGTCAAGTTATCTAATCATGGATTTTAGTAATTAATACTGCCTCAGATTAGATAAATAGGGCAAATATTGCACCAGTTTGGTAATACTAGCATTGGATATTCAACAAAACAAATTGTTTCCCATAAGCCAGCCAAATAATACAAATAAACAGATGGTAACTACCATCTAAATTAGTCTACTTACCTCAAGCAGATTTGTCAATTTTATAGCTATTATGTTCATTAGCAACAAAGAGTTGAAAGTTTAATTTTTAATTTTCAATTTTGAACCCACTGATATGCGTACATACCTGAATTATGCTCTTCGAGCCTCTCCATTTTGGTTTTGGGAACAGGGTCGTCATGTCCAGTAGCTATAACAAGATAATCATATGTAATTGGGCTACCCTCCTCAGTCAATACTTCAGTTTCTGTGATGTTAATAGCACGAGATATAATGACACGTCCATTTGTAAGGTACTCACTGTGGTTGATCACTGATCTCTCTGCAATCAACGGCTCCACCATTGCTCTCAAGTTTGTCCATGGGATCTCAAAATACTCCTTCCTATGTTGTTTTTCATTTTTGATTAAGCACCCAAAAACAGCATAAAATATAAGCTTTTTATTTGAAGGATAAAAGGAAATTTCATTAACCAATTATAAAGATGGTGTATACAACATTAAAGGCATTATATTAAGGCAATTCTAAACTGAAGTGGCAACCAATAAAGGTGGGGGAAAGGGGAATCTAACCATTTACATCCTAGTTCTAGACCATCCACAAGAACAAACTTCAATTAGATGGAGACTGTCTTTTACATGTCACAGGATGGAAAAAGAAATTAACAGAATGACCCTAACCTTCTAATTGCTGTGACTTATTACTGTATGCTATTATTTTTCTCCATCCTCTAAATAAGAGTAATCAGTATGATATTTCAGCTTTATCAAATAAGTATGAAATCCGGTTAAGGGTCCATCTAAGAAATGCTCTAGGTATTAGGTAGTCTGGGCTAATATGAATTTCCACCAACTAGAGTGACTGGTCGAGCAGTCAGTCAAAAGATCTCAGTTAAGACCAAAAAATAAAATAGAAAAGAAAATAGGAAAAGAATGATAGAATAAAAGTAGGGATGCAAACGGATTGATCGGATTCGAATCAGGGTATATCCAAATCCGATCTGGTGAACTGTCATCGGATCTCGCAAATATTTATTCGGATTCGAATCCGATAAGGGTGTAGGATATCCGAATATTATCCAATCCGATTTAATTTTTTAAAAATTAATATATTATTAAAATAAAAAGGAAATATACCAATTTAAATCAAGAAAAACAAAAAATAAAACATTTTTTCAACTATTTTCATCATATATATACACATGTTTTTATAAATAAATAAATAATATAAACAATTTACAAAAAAGCAATATAGATAACATATTTATAAATAAATAAATGACTATATTATATTATCAGAACGGATAGAGGTGATCTGAATCCGATCCGATCCAAAAATCCGAAATGAGGATATCTGAATCCGACAAAATAGGATCGGACATTGGATCAGATCATGATCCAATCCATTTGCACCCCTAAATAAAAGTAAAGAAGAGAGGAGAGAATGGGAGAAAATGGAGCAGAAAAGAATAGGACTACCACCTCAAACAATTGTATTTATATGAGGATCTTATAAAAGATGTACAATGACCAAAATACCGTGCCACCCTAATAAAATAATAAATTATAAAAACAGCAACATAAAAACAATATAAAACAGAATATATGGACAGAATAAATGATAATAAATTGCATCTCTACACTCCCCCACCCCTCAAGTTGGGAATAGATATTTGTCATTGCCAACTTGCATAAATCTGTCTCTACCTTGACTTTAGCTGCTTTGATAAAAATGTCAGCCAACTACATGCCAAATGCAACATATGAAAAACAAACCTCCTGATATGCAACCCTCTCCCAGATAAAGTGCCACTCCGCCTTAATGTGTTTTGTTCTATCATTCTGAATTGAATTGCGTGCAATGTTAATGGCAGCCCGATTATCACAATACAATATTAATAACATATCATAACTAATCCTCAAGCAAATATCTCAACCATAGCACTTCTCGCAACCCATGAGCTAGAGTTATAAAGTGGGTCATGCTGCCCGCAAGCTAGTACAGTTTGGCATGGCTCGAGCCGTGTTGGGCCTGGGGTTTTGAGGCCTACGAATTGGCATGGCACACCTCTAAAATAGGACCATGCTAGCATGACCCATGGCTCAACATCACGAAGCTAAAACACATGCCAGCCCACCAAAATAATATAGTTGTTTGGACCCCCTTGCCATCCCGCCAAAATATTATAGCCGTTGGGACACCCCCCCAAATGACTATATTCTACTTTTTGGGTGTTTTTTTACAGAAATACCCCCAACAGCTATTAACAGCTAGTTTGGGGGGTATTTATGTATTTTGCCTTGGGCAAAAAATGACAAATGCCCCCCAACAGCTACTTTAGGGGGCATCTTAATAAAGTGATAATTAACTTAATGAAATACCAAAATACCCCTCCCAATAACTATAAAACGATTGGTTTTAAGGGTATTTTAGTTAATTAAATTATTTCCACTCCTATAAATACCCTTACCCTCCCTCATTCTCATGATACCAATTCTCATACTCTCATATACTCGCATACTCTCTCATACACTCTCATACTCTCTTAGTCTCTTGCTCCTTAGTCCCTAATTCTCAACTTTGTTCAAGTTTCAACAAGGATAGAGCTTACTCAAGTGTCTCAAGTTATCAATTTGGGAGGCTCAGAAGCTTCATTAATTGAAATTAAGTTGGGATACCGGACCAGCAGACTCTGTAAGTGGTAATTAACTTCATTTTTAGGGCTTTAATATTTTAAATTTTTTAAATTTTAAAAACATGGATGATATTTTAACTTCATTCTCAAAATTACCACTCGGTAAGTGGTAATTAACTTCATTCTCAAAATTACCACTCGGTAAGTGGTAATTAACTTCATTCTCAAAATCCCTTTCACTACAACATGGATGATATCCAGTCACAGTACGATAGCACACCGATGTATGTGTCAGTGGTAATGCTATTGAACAAGCCACTCCTACTACTACTACTAGGGGTGGCAAGAAAAGGATAAGTGATGTTTGGGATATGTAGAATATAGAAAAGGTTGAGGGAAAGGGAAAAAGAGCAGTTTACATGAAATGTAGAAGTGATTTTAGTCATAGTAGTACCAGCCATTTGGCCAAACACATGGCCAATCATTTAAGAAAAAATAATAATGAAAACCAAACACAAATTGAGAATGGGTTTTTTGGTAAATTTCAATATTCACAAGAAAAATGAGGCAAGAACTAGAAAAAAATTCTACGACCATCAATGATTCCACAATTTAAAAAAGTTTCTAGAAATACTATAAGAGCATATGCTTTGAAGATATTTATTTTCATATAAACAAGATTTAATTTCTACTTTATCAACTGTTTTTTTTTATAATTGAAAGAAATTTATTAATCAGCAATTATAAATAGAGAATGTCCCCATGGAGAGGCACGAGATACAACCTCTCCAAGCTAGTTAAGTACAACTTTCCAATATACTATAACAAGTTACAATGTAGCACAAAAAAGATCCTCCCTGGAAACCCCCTGTTTGGCCAAAGAATCAGCCATTATTAGCTGACATGCTTACCCATTTTACCTCAACTCTCATATTACTAGTTAACCACTTTACTTTTTTGATGAGGTCTTTGTAGCCCCAAATGGTAGCATCCGGGTTTAGAAGCCACCTTGTTACCACTTGAAAGTCCCCTTCAACTAGGCGATGTTCCACCCCAAGCTGGTTAGTGATCTGAATTCCTTGTACTGCAGCTAGTATTTCTACCCTTGTAGAGTCCCCCACTCCCACTGGCCCTAAGAATAAGGAGATGATGTTGCTGTCCTTATTCCTCAAGACACCCCCTATACCTGAAGGCCCAGGGTTACCTTGGCTGTTTCCATCAAAATTTAACTTGATGACACCTTCTGGAGGCGGATCCCATTCTAACAAACTTCTATTCTTCTTTGTAGAAGTATTAGCTATTACTAACCAATTCTTCCACAAGTCATCAAAAGAGAAATCAGCAAATATATCCAAGATTTTTAGCCAATGTATTGCTCTTGTTAGAATACAGTCCTTCACTTCATCTAAGCTTCTTTCCTTCTCTAAGAAGACTCTTGCATTCCTTTCCTCCCAGAAAGTCCATAAGGTGGCTGCCCTGATACATTTCCACATGAACTTGCCTCTTCTAGTGTGGTATACAAAAAAAGATGGGTTAAATAACAAACTCAAATCAGATGGCGGGGACCACCTACCTCCAAATAAACTAAAGCTCCAACTCCATAAGGGTGTAGCAAATGAACAGGAGATCAGCAAATGGAAACAGTCCTCATTCTGGGCCTTACACAAGGAACACCAGTTCGGGGAGAGACAAAGAAAGGGTCTCTTTTTCTGCAAGTTTTCCAAAGTATTGGTTTTCCCATAGTAGACTTCCCAACAGAATACATCAATTTTTGGAGGAATAGGTCACGCCCAAACTTCTTTGAAGGGGAACCCTTGGGAAATGGGGTTGGAACTGAGGGATTTTAGAAAAGAAGAACAAGGTACCTTTTGGAAGAGGAGTCCAAACTCTTTGATTAGAAGATGTGGGGTCCAAACAAACTGACTCAAGTAAGTGAAGTAGCTCAGTGACACAAATCAACTCACCATCCCTTAATCCCCTACGAAATTCAAAATCCCAATTTAAAGACATGGGAGTAAACGGGTTCGGGAGAAAATTTGCAATTGGCTCATTTTGTGAAGGGAGAGAGAGTAAAGCGAGGGGAATCGATCTTTAAGGGGTTGAATACCCACCCAAACATCCTCCCATAACCGAATAGAATCACCAGAACAAGCATCATACCTAATAAACTTGAGGAAGCAAGGGAGAATACCATGTATAGCCTTCCAAGGTGTTGTAAGGGTAGCTCGACAAAATATGGATCAAAGGAAGACTCAGTCTAAAAATAAGAGAACAGAAGATGGCCACAATTCTTGCGGAAGGCTCAAAGATGATTGACTGGGTGAAAGAGTTTGTCTTTGATGTAGCAACTAAAGGGAAACAGATAAAATGGAAAGAAAACGTCTCAAAGACAGGTAGGAGCTATGTGATGGAGAACAAGAGGAATGCAAAAGGTGCATTCATATCTCTTACTGAATATTTCTCTAAAGGAAGGAAGCAAATGGTTTGTTTCCCTCAAGAGAAGAATGGTCAAGGATGGATAGGGGTAGCTGGTATACTAACAAATTTCCTAAATAGAAGGGAGTTGGAGAAAAAAGAGTTGTTGGAAATTAATGAAAGTGGACAAAGACCAAAAGTTAGCATCCAGATCCTGTGTAAGGAAGAGGAACCAAAAAAGAACTTTTTGGCTATGGCAAACAATAGGAGGGATTCTTCCTTGTAACAGATGAGACAACAGGAAAATGGGAAAAAGCCTTGAGCACGATTGGGT